GAAGGGTCATCTTTAGCAAAGGAGGGGATGGAGGATGCCTTCCTCTGTTTCGGCTGCGGGAACCTGGAATCGAAGAAGGTGAAGGCTGGCCAATCTCCAAAACAAAAAGGGATCAATCCACTGAAAGACATTGGCTTGTTAGCACCCCTAGGAAAACTACCAGCAAGAAAACCTTTCCTTGACTATGGCTTATATAACAGAAATCAGTGCAGAATTCACCAAGATGACCTGACTTACAATCACGACCAGTTGATGGAACCGGATGTAAATTCAGGTCCAAGCCAGTGTGTGGGTAAAACCAATGAGGATATATCACAAAGCCAGCTTATCAAAGATACGTGTCAGAAATCATTTTGTGCAAGTAAAATGTCAGTGTGTTTGACATTTCCAAAAGATAACACAGCACAGAAGAATAACCAGTACAAAGACCTGGAAGAGATACTCAAACCAGTTAGTGATCACAAGGAACAAATCATTAAGCATCAGTGTAAAGACAGTTCATTTGTATGTAGCTTCAAGGCCATGAATAAAAATAGGTTAGATCCCAACAAAGCCTATGAGGTCAGGAAGACACCAGCTCAGATTTGGGAAGAAAGTAAGGTCCATTGTGAAAATTATTTTTCAAAGGACAGGAACCATTCCCTTATTGATGACCCGTTCCAAGTGAAACTAGACATTCAGGCTACAGTAGAGACTTCTTGTGTACTACAATCTTCAGCAAGTTGTGAAAGCTCAACAAGTGACAGTACTAAGTCTCTAAGCAAAGAAAGATCAAGTGAAGACAGAGACAAATACGACATAGTTGCAAAGCCTTGTACAAATGAACCACGCCACAAACATAGACGGTTGAGTACTGACAGTGATCTTTCAGAGGGTACAGATGGTCAAATGAAGAATACCATGATTACATCACCACACAAGTGCCAGAAAGTGAGTTACAAGTTTCAAAGTGTTGGTAATTTTGGAAAATTGCAAGTGATTTAAGCATTAAGTTCTGTTTATTTAAGCATTTCATGTTATTATTTAAAGAGCGGTTTACACGTTATTTGTCTAATTTCATTTTCCATATCAAGCTTTTAACAGGTATAGGTAGGATATGATTATAATTTCAGGAAATCAGATTACCCTGTACTATACTTCTTCCTTATCCCTACCATCTCTCTCCTTTTGCTATTCTCCCTCCCTCCCCTCTCCACGTCATTCTCTCCCATACTGCACTCACTTGGCATTTGCTCCACCTTCCCTCTCTTCTGCAATTCTCCCTCTTCCTTTTTTCCTGCTATTTCCCTGGCCCTTCTGCCTTGTCATCCTTACCACTCCCCTTACACTTTCCACCCTTCCTCTCCCCTGTGTCATCCTTGTTCTTTCCCTTTTCCCCTGCTGTCTCCTCCCCTCTCCCCATGTCATCCTTTCTTTCCTTTCTTCTTTGGTATCTTCTCTCTCTCTCTCCTCTTCCTTGCTATCCTCCCCCTTCCCTATCTTTCCTCTCCCCTGCAATCCTCCCTATTCCCTCTCCCCTGCTACTTTCCCTCTCCCATCTTTATTTTAACCATTATCCTCCCCTCCCCTCTCTCCCAAGCCATCCTCCCTCTTTCCTCTCCCCTGCAATCTTCTTCCTTCCCTCTTGCCATCTCTCCCTCCTGTCTCCTTTACAATCCTCCCCTTGCCATCTCTCAGTGTCATCCTTTTTCCCTCTCCCATCTCTCCTGCTATTCCCCACCTTTATCCATTGCTGTCATACCCCCCATTCTCTCCACCATCCACCCCCTCCCCATTCTCTCCACCATCCAACCCCCTCCCCACTCTCTCCACCACCCACTCCCCTACCCACTCTCTCCACCATCCACTCCCCTCTCCATTCTCTCCACCATCCACACCCCCCTCCTCACTCTCTCCATCATCCTCCCTTGTCTCCACTCATACCATCTTCTCTTGCAGCTTGGGTATGACCCTCACATGCTGCAAAGTAAGCACTTCTGGCCAGGCTTTGTGGACACACACTGCCATCTAGACTTCCTGTTCCGGCACGGCAACCATAACTCAACCAGCCACGCTCGTTTCCAGGCTCAATGCCGAGGCCATGATGCCTACCCAGTCTCCTTTGAGGGCTGCATTGCCGTCTTCTGCCAGCCCTGGACTTTTCGGGAGGTTGGCTTTTCTTGTACTTGTGCTTCATCTTCCCATTCTTTTTCTCCTAATTCTTGTCTCTTATCTAAGGGGCCTTATTTTCTTTTTTTTTACCTTCTCTTTTTACCTTTCAGATTTCCATCTCTTCCTTTTCCTTCTTCTCCATCTTTTTCTGCCTTGTGCTTCTTCGTCTACCCCTTTTACTCCTTTTCCCTTTTCTTCACTACATCTTTTTTTCCTTTTCAATATTTCAACTCCTTTTTTTGCATTCTTCTGCTTCATTTCCTCCTCCTTCTTCACCTTCTCCTTCTCTTTCTTCTCCATCTCCATCTTCTCTTTCTTCTCCATTTCCATCTTCTCGTTCTCCTTCTTC